CGTGACTCCAGGGTCAGGGAATGGGCGCACTCGCCGCACCAGCAGCCAACAGCGCAATCTGGCTGAGGCTGATGGAGATCGCAGCATGTGGCTGTGCCTCGAGGGTTGCAGTTCTAGCAGCCTCATCTGCAGCACCATTGCCAGGGATACCCACATGGCTCGGGATCCAGTTGATGGTAGCCCTGCGACCCTGGGCCATGAGAGTCTGCAGGTCACCCCAGATGGATGTGATTAAGTGTATGTTGTCCTTTGGCTCTCTGTGCATAAGCGCTTGGATTGCTGCCTTGGAATCAACGTGGATGATGGGGGGATGCTGATGGTCTGCAAGAGCATGCCGCAGAGCTTGTTGGATGGCAAAGAGTTCGGCCTGGAGGATGGTGCAATGGTCTGGGAGGCGCCAACCTGCTGTCAGATTGCTGTGGAACATCCCAGCAGCTGTGCGGCCTGCCACTGGGTCTCTGGAGCCATCAGTGTATTATGGCACACACCCTGGGCCTTCTGCACCCACAATGCTAGCCGAGGCAAGGTGGTGCAGAATGTCCCGGGTGCAATGCCTCTTGCTGTCTGGTAGGGTTGTCCAGCTCACCACAAACAGCTCTGGTGCCCAAGGGGGTGGCACCGTGTAGTTCGCTGCCAGTCTGTCGCAGCCTCCCGCCTGGAGCAATGTCATGGGCAAGAGCTTCTGTGTGGCATCTGCTACCAACCACATCCATCGGCGGCCGGGATGCAGTGGAATGACCTGTCCCTGGCGGACCCGTAAATCTCTCATCAGTTTGTCAGCCCCTGGGAGTCGGAGATACTTTGCAATCCTCCTGGCAGCTACCAGTTGGATCCTGTCTTCATGAGGCTGTAGCTGCACCTCAAGGTTCAGAGCCACTGCATTGGCCCATCTAGGAGCCCCCAGCATGGCCCGTACAGCTGTGTTCTGGATGACACAGAGGAATTTGATGTTTGTGGGTCTGGCGTGAACCAGAGCAAGTGCCCCATAGTCAACGAGGGAACGTATTGCCTGGATGTAGAACAACCTCATGACCTCGAGGCTGGCCCCAACCCTAGGGTTGGCCATGGCACTCAATGCCCTGACCCTCTGCAGAGCCCTCTCTTTAATGTGGTGCACATGTTTCTGGAAGGTGAGGTGCCTGTCAATGTAGATGCCAAGGTACCTGTAACTGTGAACCCACTCCAGGTCGATGCCCAGGACTCGCAGCCTCTGACTGGGCACCTTGGTGCGAAGGATCATGGCTTTGGATTTTGCTGCAGATATCTTGAGTCCCAAGTGACGGCAGGTGGAAGCCAGCAGATCGAGGTCCTCCTGGGCACGCTGCAAAAGCCGGCGCTTCCTAGGTACGACAAGTGCCAGGTCATCGGCATAGCTGAGGAGGATGGTCCCTCTGGAGAAAGGCAGGCACACCAGCTGATGCATCAGTACATTGAACAGGGTGGGACTAAGCACCCCGCCCTGTGGAGTGCCGTTGTCCAGGGTCTTGAGAGAAGAGGCATGCCCCTGGAAGCGTACCCAGGCCCGCCTGTCCGGGAGATAGGAACGAAGCCATGAAAGCAGCCTGCCTTTAATCCCCCTTCGGGCCAAGAGTGAGAGGATGGCAGGTGCACTGGCTAGCTCAAAAGCGTTCTCGAGGTCAAGAAAGACAACAATGTGGGCTTGGGCGTCCGACCCAATGCCGGTCAGTAGAGTGGTAAGGCTTTCGAAAGTGCCCACTCCTCTGGTGAAGCCATAGAGGTGTTTATGAGGAGGGCCAAGCTTCCACCTCAGGCGCTCCAACACCATCCTTTCAGACACCTTCGAGATGCAACTAGTGAAAGAGATGGGTCTCACACTGCCAGGATCCCCAGGCTTAGGAATCGGTATGATGTCATCCTCCTTCCATACGACAGGGAGTTTGCCAGCTCGCCAAGTCTGGTTGATGACTCCCAGGACAGGTGAATGTCCAGAATGGCCAGACCGAGTGATCATGCCATAGGTGATACCATCATGCCCCGGAGCAGTGTCTTGATGAGGTGTGAAGGCTGCCTGGAGCTCCTGGTTGGTGAAGTCTTCATCCGTGACATCCCCAGCCTGGCATGCTGCTTGGATCACCATCACCCTTCTAGGAAGGAGGGTGGCTTGGAGGTCCTGGAGATCCTGAGGCAGTTGAGCCATGGCCGCTCTGGAGGTGAATAGGTCCACCAGACGCTCTGCCTCTGTTGCAGGGTCTGGGTGCAACCGAGCCACACTGCGATGCTGCCCAGTGGCCAATCGTAACTTGGTCCAAATCTCAGATAAGGTGGAGGAGTAGCTGAAGGAGGCACACCACTCGAACCATTTAGCCTGCCGGACCCTGTGTGAGACATGGCATGCATGCCGCACCACTTCCCTGAGCAGACGCATGGATTCAACTGTGGGATTACGCCTGTGCATCTTGCGTACAACATTGATGCGGTGGTTCTGTTCCCTGATGTCCTCATTGTAAAACCACCAGTCAGTTTATAATGACCTCCACCTTAATCTCTGGTTGGCTGCCTCAGCTGCACATGTGGAAGGCCACCTGCAAGCTTTGAGCATGCTTCATTTGGGTCTTCAGAAGAGGAGACTCTGCCACCACGCTCAATGACTTCTGGGAAGCACGCCAGTCGGCCTTTTTTAGATTCCATTCTGGGGGTAGGTGTGGGGAGCAGGCACCCACTGGACATCAGCGTGGTGACCACTGCCAAAAGTGATCACAGGGTGAGCGGGGTGGACCTCCCATTCGCACTCAGAGAGCAACCGCTAGAGATGAGTGTGACGCCCAAGCGGCCACCGTAGTGATGGGTTGGCTACCCATCATTGAGGAGGGCGATCTCAGGGGACCTCCTCCAGCACAGCCGGCAAGGTGCCTCCCAGCTGCGTTGGTAGGAGAGACTGAAAAAAAGTATTGGGTGGTGGGCATTGACTCCCAGCCACAACTAGACCTCCCGTGGGGCGGAGTGCTGCTCACCTCTGAAATGGTACAAGGGTGTACCGAGACCTTCTGTAATTTATTGTAAACCACGTGAGGTCAATCCGCGGTGTAGGGTGACGCCTGAACCTTTATGCCCTCCCCACGTTGAGGGGGTCATTGGAGATTGAATGAGGGATAGTGGTCCTGAAGCAGATCGCCGTGCCCCTAGCCAGTCCCTTCAGGCGCTGAAGGTAAGCCCCCCCCCCCCCCCCCCCCCCACCCCCCCCCCCCACCCCCCCCCCCGCCCCCCCCCCCCCCCCCCCCCCCCCCCCCCCCCCCCGGCCCCCTGCCAGAGAATCCCGGAATACATGGCTGCATTTGACGTGACGAATCGGTGAGTGTTTCTGAAACAGGAAGACATCAACCTCATCCTGAACTGCGCTTCAATCTTAAGTGAATTTCCGCTGAGCCAGCAAATGTTCCACTGGAGGATCTTCAAGGGCCGCAGGAGTGGCTCACTGATCCCATCTCTGCCTGGGACTGTCGTCCGTTGTTGGCGACTTCGGGGCCTACCTCCATCATGGACTGGCAAGGACTCCTGGATGATGGTTGAAGTTCCATTGAGTCTTTTCCTGTCAGTAGGACCACGCCCAGCATCCATGACAGGAGCTCCTGAGGTGCCCTGTCCTTGCAACGGCAGCAGGCAACAGAGGAGTGGATGAGATTGACCCGATGGTTTTCTTCAGTCGATCCTGGAAATGATTCGACCATTACCTTGCAGGCATTGAGCTGGATGACCCGTCGAGTCAGGGCTGGTCACGGTGTATGTATGGGTGGCTGGCGACACTTCAGCCAGCATAGCTGGGTGCACCCTGGGCCCCGGGCCTTGAGTGGCCATATATTTAGCTTAGCTTCTGTGTTCCACGGCGGGGAAACCTTTGCCTGATATGGCCGCTGGTGGTATGGGAAGGATTGTTGGTGCCCACCTGGGAACCTGCTGGGCAGTGTGCCTGGCCTGTGGCTGTTTTTCCCAATGATTCTGACTTCTTGGCCACCTTGCCATCTGACCCCGCAGTTGACCGCACTGCAGTAAACCAGCACCTGCCCCTGATGCCAGCTGAAGCCCAGTGCTGGAACTCGCTGGTATTGCCACCTGCGGTATCCGGGGGGAACTGGTTGGAGCCATACTGAATGTTGCTGGGCGGTTCAAGGGCTGGGTGGCGTCGGGGCTGTCGGCTCGTTCCGATGACGAACCTGCTACCAGTGCTGCATCGTCACAGGACAGCTCCGGTTCCAGGCATGGTGCCTCTTTGAGCAGTTGGCACACTTGGGCTATGGCCGAGGGTTTCGCCAGTGGCTGTTGAGAATTGCAATGCAGTCCTTCTAGTCGTGTGCCGTGCTGCACACAACCACACTTTCCAGCTGGCAGGTGGCTGCATATGATTGAACCAACAGTTGAAGCATTGTACGTGAGGCCTGACAGGTATGGTTGGGGTATGGATCTTTCACCAGCCCCAGTCCAGGTGTGTGGGAAGTGGACCTTTGTGGTTGGAATCAGCACCTGGCGGGTGGGCACCTTGATTC